ATGGAGCCTAACCCCTGATTTCCCAAAAGCCTTTTGTGTTGCCAACTGCAGATTAGCTAACCTCAGGTTTTTTCCACGAACCTAACCCCTTCTGTTGGGGAGGGACTACTGTAGTTAAAACTTTAAACGTCATTATAATTATTTATTTTATTTATTTTTACACTGTCTGTGTGGAGGCTTGTGTGTACGGTAGAACGTCGATTTAAAGCGATTCAGTTTAAGATTATTGATTTAAAGCGATTCAGTTTAAGATTATTGATTTAAAGCGACACCCACAATTAAGGACAATGTTTTAATTTAAAGCGAATCTCTCCTATTTTGCGCTAGTCAATCTGGTGCATGACATTTTAAAAGTCGCCCTTAATGTTTCTTTGGGCACGCTACACTGTCCTAAGGACAAAGCTGTACTGCACATGTACTCAAAATAATCAACTAAATGATTACTAAAATTTTTGTCTAGTGCAAACTATAGCATGTTTATATTCAAATTAATCACTATCTTATAAGAATTCCGGCAATGTAAATTATATTCTCCCCAGTCACTTGTGACATTTTATAAACAAAAAACAAAAACTCAATCTAAAGGACATAAATAAACAAATAAATACTTCACTAGTAGACCTTGGCGCCAACTGTTAAACATGTCACTGTCACCTCCCTCCTCCCCCAATCTTCCCAGCCAGGGTTTGGTGGTTATTGACTTACAGTTTCTATCTTATATAATATCACAAACTAAAGTTATGAGAATATAATTTGCATTGCTAGAATCCTTGCAAGACAGCGAATAATTTGAATATAAACATCATATATTTTGCACAAGAGATAAAAAATTTAGCCCTTTGTAATACTGTACAGTAAAATTAATTAGAACATGTCAGTTCAGTGACATTTTATAAGAGAAAAACTTAAAGTCACTCTTAAGAACAGATAAATAAATAAGCACTAGACCTTGGCATCAACTGTCAAACATATCACCTCACCCCCCCCACCCCATCTTCACATCAGCTGATCGCCAGTAAACAGACCATTTCACATCCCTTAATTTTAGCTTTGTTGCTTAGTGAGTGTTTGTTTTAACATAATACAGTCAACCCTCACTTTACGCAGTCCCACATTCCGAGTTTCCACGGTACCCTGCCAACATTCTGCGGTGCGTGTACCCCTTTACGCGGGTGAAGTATAATTTTTTTATTTAGCTCATAAAATTCATACAAATTATCCGGCCAGAATATAATTTACATTGCTGGAATTCTTACAATTTGATGATCATTTTGAATATAAGCATCATAGATTTTGCATTAGACATACAAATTTTAGATCTAATGCAAGTATTTTGTTTACTCAGAGCAAATATGTTATCTTTTGTGCAAAATATATGAAGTGTATATTCAAAATATTCCTGGTCTTGCAAGGAATCCAGCAATGTCAGTTATATTATCCTAACTTTAGTCTGAGGTATTATTTATTACTAAAAGTTAAAATCTAGTTTTTTCACCCAACATTTCTCTGGTACGGAGGGAAGGTGGGGGGTGGGGGGGAGGGTTGGGACCGACCGACTATCTGGCGCGGTTGGAAGAGGGGGGGGAGGCAAGGTGGGGTACTTTGATTGACAGATAGTGTTGTGAAGAATATTTTTTTTTTTATTAACTGAAGATATTTGTTTTAGCTCATAAAATTCATACAAATTACCCGGCCAGAATATAATTTACTTTGCTGGAATTCTTACAATTTGATGATCATTTAGAATATAAACATCATAGATTTTGCATTAGACATACAAATTTTAGATCGAATGTAAGTATTTTGTTTACTCTGAGTAAATATGTTATCTTTTGTGCAAAATATATGACATTTATATTCAAAATATTCCTGGTCTTACAAGGAATCCAGCAATGTCACTTATATTATCCTAACTTTAGTTTGAGGTATTATTTATTACTATACCTTAAAATCTAGTGATTTTCCCCCAAAAATTTCTCAGAGAGGGATGAGCCAGCGAGTGTAGTGTGAGAAGAGGGGGAGGGAGTTGAGTCCATTATTTGAATGGACATTAACTTGGCGACTGTATTTCTCTATTTCTCTTAAGTATTAATTGTGTGCATGTACCATCATAAAATTAAGATGTTATTTTTACTAGAACATAGGTATTGTGTCGGAAAAAGTGGGGTTTGGGGGTCAGCCGGTCTCTATTTCATTTAATCCCATATGTTATGTTGTTCACTTTACGCGTTTCTCGCTTTACTGGGGCTACGGGGGCCTCCGTGGGTTCAATTGACCGTGTAAAGTGAGGGTTCACTGCTACAAAAAACAATGTTTTGTTTATTCTAGGAGACGGGCTGAGGTGCATCTGGGTAGACTCTCAGTCTTTTCAGTATTTTGTGTTTCTCTCAAGTACCAAACTAAATTATTCCATTGAAACAACACTTCGATTTAGTGCGATGTCATGGTTTTGGTATGAATCGGTGGTAGTAGGAGTGGATTATATTATATAAAGATAATAATATGTCGTATTTCTTATTTCTTACCGTAGAGTCCGATACCTTCACACTGATTACTTACAGGAGATTATGGCGTATCTACGTAGAAGTTCACTCCACCACTCGACATTCCATGATTTATACTTGATAAATGATGATTTAATGAATTCATTTAATTTTCAACATCCATCTAAGTTACTGGTTATACTATGTCATAACCAATCAGTCATTACCTTTAGTAATAATAAGATAGGATCACAGATACGGGCAGATAATTGCACTTACATTTATTTGTCAAGCTTCCATACAATGATTTACAATTTGCATGGATATATGATTTACTCACGTTCACGCTGTAATAAAATTAATCTTCTAAACAGGGAATTTTCAACTTGGGGACACATGTGGTTACTCTACTATGGGTGTGACTTAACAGAGCCTTAATTCTTCAAGCGATACATTTACTGCCAGCCTGGGTTGCTTTTGTTGCAACCAGGCTTCATCACAAGAACTTCTTCCCACGGCCATAACAACAAAAGGTACTCTTGGGTTACCACACATTGTCTCGCGTCACTGACAGTCACTGTGGACGGTTGTCGCGGCAAGTAGAACTGGTAAGCGTGACTTGAATTAACCATTAGGTGCAATAGACCAGCCTGGATTGCTTTTGTCGCAACCAGGCTTCCACACGTGATATTTCCACTGGGATAACAAACCTAGGTTAACACACGTAGTCTCGTGTCGATCACGGTCACGGTAGACGGGTGTCGTGCAGGAGAACTCTGTAAGCGTGAATTAATTAACCATTTACTGTAAGTTTGATAGGCCAGCCTGGATTGCTCTTGTCGCAACCAGGCATCCACACGTGATATTTCCACGGGGATAACAAACCTAGGTTAACACGCTTAGTCTCGTGTCGACGACGGTTCACAGGACGGAGTGCGGTGGAGGACTCTGTGTGGTGTGGTGCCCCGCTCCCTTTCAGGAGGGAGAGAGTCAAGACGACTTCTTAACTAACCCATGGCTCAGGGGATACTACTCAAAATGAGGTTTTTGGGTGTGAAGCGATGAACAGTACAACACTGTTTCACTGCCCACCCCCCTAAAGGCTGGCTAACATACACTAATGGAAAAATACATGTCCCAGGTATGCCTCGCCGGGCGTCTTATCTCTGGTAAAACAAACTTTGGAGTTGGTTGCGTGGGTAATCCTAACGCAACCCATGACATGCGAATTCAGTTTAAAGCGACCTCTCTTGGAACATATTTCGTGTTAAATCTACGTTTTACTGTACACATATATGAGTAAAAGCAAAATTTGTTAAATTTATGTTTACCCAAAATTATGAGTTTAAAAAATACTTTATACTTTATGATAATTGTTTATTTTATTATTTTTGCACATTCTCTACTGTATGTAGGATTGTGTGTGAATGTAACAGAATTAAAAGAAAAATGCATCTTCCTTAAACTACAAGTTGAAATATAACCTGGGAATTACTTGGTGCTCATTTTAAATAATTTGTTCAAGAACATAACTTGTTTTGGGGGGTTCCAGATACCGGGATGCCGAATAATGGTCCCATACCTGTGTATAATGTAAATATTCACAAAAAATAAGAAATAAAAGGAACAATAAAATAGTAAGCATAATAGGATAATATAACAAAGAAATTAATCATTCTAAGCTGAGTACAGGTAATATATGGTACAGTTCCTCTATTTGGCTCTAGGAAGTAATTAAAGGTGATTACTCTTCAGTTGGGGTACTGTTAGTAGTTGTATTGACACAAGACCTCATCCACCCCATTTTTGGTTAGTTTAGAACCTTGCAGGCCCATAACAAAAGACTTACAGTCATAAACAAAGGATTAAGGAATGAAATTCCATTTTGTAACTAATTTATGAGGAGTTCCAGACCATCACCTGCTAAGTGCCATATATCGCTGAAACGTGTTATGTATTGCATTGTATTCCCCAACTTCTCACTTCTCTGACACCTGGGTAATTCAGAGAGCCAATTGGGAACATGTACATGTGAGTGAGAGTATGTACTCTGGAAAGACTATTGTATGTCATACATTTCCAGCTGAGTATTTTCCTTCATTTTCTATTTTGGCACTTAGCAGATTATGGTCCAGAGCTCCTGATATGGTTTCCTTCCTTTCTTTCTTAGTGGGGTTGGAAATCAAGAGCACAGAGGGCAGGAGTATGATCTTTTTATGTGCAAAAGAGTATGATTCCTTCAAAGGTGTTCTTGAGACAACTGTTGGGTCAAATACCCTGTAGAAATGATTCTTTGACCATGGGTCAACTGAGTGAAAAGACTGGTTGTCCCAAATATACTGTTGTGTATCCGACTATAAAACAATAAAAGGTTCTGAATGGGAATAATTTTGCCATATAGATCTCTTAATCTATTACAGTTCACCCATTTCTTCCCCACAATCATAAAATTTGTTTATTTCAGGTTTTCATTTTCATTTATATAATGTTCACAAATCTGTGTATATAACCTTCTAGTGTGATGTGTGCCTTTGCTGGCAACATGGTGCTTGCTACAATATAGTTGGAGAAGACCAGGTGCCAGATAAATACATCTGTTCACTTTGTGACCATCCAAGACTGGAACGATCCTCACACAAATTCAGGCACCACCAAGACTGGCTAAAGGAAGGACGCCTACCAAGGTAAAACTATGAACACTAAGTAAATAAAGTAAAACCAATAAGATTATTAAGAAATAAAAAACAGTACGTACTTTTGATTTACTTAGTTTTTTAATTCATTAAGTATTAGCTGATTCAATCTAAAATTTTTTACTATAGCCATCTAGGAATAAAAATATTTTTAATTAAGAGCATTGTGGAGACTCTTAGTATGAACACTTGGTAAACCCTTGTGATAGAGCCCACATTGCCATGTCAGGATATAGTGTACAGAGGCTGTCAAAACTGCCACTCGTATATCTGTTACTAAATGGGTCCTCCTGCCAAATGACCATCATCTCAAATTTTCAATTCCGGCTGTCGGAGAGTTCCGGGTTTGAGGGATTCCGGCTAACGGAGATATTACTGTATATATACACACAGTAAACCCTTGATAACTCGGCAAATATGGGGCTCTGGCCTTGCCAAGTTATCCCTAATTCCGACTTGTTGAGGCACTTCCCCCTCCTACAAAAATACAATAATAAAATTTTTTCGACCCATATACAGTATGTGTACATGCAATTACTAAATGTAAAATAGTAACACTTACCAGCACTGCAGGTGAAGATGAAGCATCATAGTAGGAGACTTAGATGCATGCTAGGTGACACAGAGGCATGATAGGTGACACAGAGGCATGGTAGGTGATGCAGGTGGCCAGATATAGCGAAATTTTCCCAGATAATTTTATATACTGTACAGGTATCTCGGCATTTCCCGAGTTATACTTATACATTCCAAGACCATATCCGTGCCGAGTTATATGAAATTCTGAGTTATCAAATGCCAAGTTATCGAGGGTTTGGTCAGTAAAACCTCGATAACTCGGACTTCAATATATCGGAATTCGCTTTTCTCGGACTCTGGGATACTCTGGCCATAAAAAAAAAATAATAATAAGAAATGGCAAAGATTAATTACAAAATATCATTGAATGAACAACACTTACTGAATATTGTACAGTAGTCTAATCAGATTTGCTTTAGGCCTACTGATCAGGTATTGCCACCTTCATCTGGTTTATTTATTTATTGATTCAGTGTTGTATTCTCATATGATTGGTCTCTTATGGTTTATGGTTCATCATGATTAATACAGTAATATCTTCGTTTGCCGGAAACCCTCAAACCCGGAAATCTGCGATAGCCGGAATTTAAATTTGCTCGGAAAATCATTCCCAAAGCCGGAATTTTCCAAAAATTTCCGGCTTTAGGAACAAATTTTCCAAGGTTGAAAATCGAAAGAATTTTCTGAACATGTCTTGAATAAAGATGAGAGTTAAAGTATTTTTTGGGGGGACCTGACCTGACCTGATTCAATGTCAGGTGTAGTTAGGGTGGGGGATTAGTGGTCTCATATTACTGACCTTCTGATGGATTGTCAGGTCACTCTTTCTTGGGTGGGGTGATTAGTTGTTCTCATGACCTGAAGATGTCTTGAATAAACACAAAACCTAAAGTATTTTTAGGGAAATTGTGATAACTATAAGTATAAATGAGCAAAGTTGTATCCCTTTAACATTACATTACATAACATTTTAAAATATGGAGTGAGAAAGCAGAAAGGTGTGGGTAATTAGAGAGATGGAGTGGAAAGGAGTGGTAACATGCACCAGTGTTGGCAAGCGATAAGCTCCTCAACAGCTGATCTTTTAATTCGCTTCCATGCAGTCAACACAACAGGACCCTCTCTGGATGCTTCTTGTCTTAATTCCCTTGTGTGTGTGTGTGTTTTGAGCTTGCCAAGCACATTGTAGGATTTGAAGAAGTTAATGAATAGTTTGTTCAGTAGTCAGGTGGTGAGGTGACATGCCAAGACACTTACACAGCACACACATTAACAGCACCACTAAACCATTGTCTTATAACATTTTACAGTATAATTTCTATTTTAAAATTAATTGATACATGTTAGCTCGACAGGGCTACTTTTGCACTTAGACAACTGTTCAATGAATAAATCAGGGCATGAGACTCATTTTACACTAATGATGTCACAAAGCTTTGAAACTGCAACCACAACTTTTGAGCAACCACATAAATTATCACAGCCTGTACTCAAATGTACTAAGTTAATTACTAAAATTATTATGTCTGGTGCAAACTAAGGGATGTTTATACTCAAATTAGTCACTATCTTGCAATAATTCCAGCAATGCAAGTTATAAAATCCCCCTCAATTTGTCGCTGCCATTCTTGGGGACTGGGAACAGGCGAGACATGAAACACTTCTATGACTGCAACAGTTCTATCACACCTCTGTTTAACAGTTGAATTACTAATTCTGTGAGTAAGGGGGTTGGTTTCTGACCCTTTTTTGGTAACACTAGCGGAGGGCGCCTCAACCAAGTCCATGTGAGGCCCCCCTTTTATTTCCTTGTACGCCCATATGGAAGAAGTCCACTTGTTTTCCCAACCCCCTAGATGACCCAACTGTCTGGCTTTATTGGAAGGGAGTGGTCGCTGATGTGGTGGAATAAGGTCTCCTTCCACTTCTGAACAAGAGCCACCCCTACTACGTCTTGAATTGTTTCCTCCTCTAAAGTTTCCTCTAGGTTGATAACTGAACCTAGCAGTTGGTCCTGTTCCCCTGTTAGACCTTCCTTTTTTAAATTTCCAAAAGGTCTTAGATCTCCTGGGAACAGTAATATGAATAGCTTGCTCAACAGCTGATCTATACTTAACTAATGTTTGTTCATCAAACAAAGCAGGAGAAAGAGGGGAAGAACGTAGCCACTTGAAGCATTATTAGTGGCTTGCTTCCTTAGTTGGGCTTTTAGTTTTAAGGCTTTCAGCATCATTTCCCAAAATGAGTTGTACAGTGATAATGGAATCCCTTGTATAGCAGCAGCAAAGCATCTGTCTACTTCTGAACTGTCCTCATAGACCAGCATAAACTTAGTCAATAACTGACACATCATGATTGCAGACCAAATATCCGCTGCCAACTTCCTAAATTTTAACTCTTCAAGCAAAAGTGCGGAAGCAACTGGTTTCAAATTTATTTCATAACTTTTGTCAGCATATTTTGGAGCCGACAAATACTGGGAAAGTTCATATAAGGAACCCTGGCTACAGTAGGAAAATACGCACAATTTTTTTTCCTAAATACCTATACTCCCTGCAAAAAAATATGGTACAGGTAGTGTAATTTTGGTTTTACTGTATATTAACACAAAGCTTCTATATAAATGATGATTGTGCATGTGACGCCACATTGAAGGAAGGAGGGAGGGTTGCAGGTGTTACGATGTGGGCACTGTTGCAAAGCATTGGCAATCCTCGAAACCTTGAGTCATTGATGGTACTACTGTACTCCTCTTTCCTCCCAGCCATAAATTCATCATTACAATTCTGTTATTCAGTCTTCTAAATTTGGATAATATGTCCTGTTTAAATTGGTAATTGTATGTACTGTATGAGTTATTTTTTTTTAACAGATTCTGAAAATATACTTACTCGAGGCATTTTATTTTCAGATTTTCATTTTCCCGTACCCGTGGCGATGCTCGACTGGAGGCTTGTGTACGACGAGGTCATGAGATGACAGCCAATGTCCTGCAGTTGTCACAAGTTCTACATTCTCTCAGACTCAAGTTACACATTGCTAAGTATGGTTATGATGCATTTAGTGAAGCTGTTTTAAAAAATTCCTAGCTTCAAAGTTTGTATGAGCTAAAGTCACATAAAACTCTTTAAATTACAAAATAGTGTTGCATTCCACAACATATGCCGTACCACCCTAGATCTACATTACAGTATTTTTACCACGGTCTCATGATATTCAAATAATGGTAGCCTAATACAGTATAATGAAATTGTAATATAAAATAATGATAGATTAAAACAACATTTGAAATAAAGACTTAGTAAAGATTTGCCTCGCTATTCATCAGATATGTCTTCCGGAAAAATGCGACATTAAATGATACATGTTGAGCACGAGTTTACCGTAGTCCTAATGATATAAATAAGGTTACTGTACTTTCCTTGGGGACATTTGTGTTAAAAAATTCTCACCAAAGTATTAATTTTTATACCTAAATTATTCAGGAAGGTTTGGTTTACAAAAATCCAGTCACAAAAAAGTACAAAATAATAAAATGTCCTATGATTTGATTTAAGAAAATCTGAAGTTGTGATTCTGTTTTGCCATTTTTGTAATATTTTCCAAATTAATAATGAAAATGTGCTAAAATAATACAGCTTTTACTACAGTACCAGGATGCTTACTCATTGTTCTCTAACACTCACATTGTTATGAAAATCTACAAATAAGCTTCAATATGTCATCATTTTCCTACTGTCACCTTATAAATTAATGTTCCTCAACCTCATTGAAGACAAGTACAGTAGACTCGTCTCCACCAGCACAGTCACTCAGCTAGTTGCCTGCTTGTTCATTTTCTCCTCATTTACTCGCATGTAATACACTATGTAACAAATTAAATTTTAAAAAATTATACTCTATTCTTAAATTTCATATGCTTATTATGCACAGTAAAGACATTGAGATCTGTGCAGTTAAATATGTGGTGTTTATGATACCTTATCCATACCTGTTTATTAAACAATAATAATAATAGAAAAATATAATAAAACCATAGTTTACTTATTAGGACTACAGAACTGTCATAATTTTATAAGTTACATATAGTGGACAGTACTTGATTGACATTATTTTCTTAATATTATTGCAAGTGATATTTTTTGGTCAAAATCAAAGCCTTAAATATACCATGTGTTTATACTTTTTGTTTCATTTGTTACAGGGAAGCAGATCACCCCAAGTTTGTCATGTGGCATAAAAAGTGGGATGAGAGAGAAGAGGACAGTGATCAGAGCAAAGCAGCTACTTTAGCAAATACAGATACAGTAGCTCCTCTCCATGAATTAATGAACATAGTGGAACAAGATGGTTCTGATCTCAGTCCAGCACTTACTAACCCATTGATGGCAGAACCAGGTCTCATGACTACTGGGATGAGCAGTTCAGATGAGCCAGGTGCAACACATGCCACTTCTCCAGTAGAGCAAGATGAGAAACCTAACCCTTCAGGGGTTTGGGATATAACTGGACAATTAATTAATGTAGAAAATTTCTCTACAAATAGTGATGCACAGAAACCTGGTAGTGCTGATGTGCTCCAGAAGGAACCTGCTGACAAGAAAAAAATCAAAGAAGGGGATGCAATAGATAGTATTAAAGGAAATAGTAATTTATCTGTACCATCCATTATGTCAGGCATGCCTGATGCTGAAAAAAAGGAGAGTGGTGAAGGTAACAAAATACACCCAGTTACTAAGTTTGATGATGCAGAACAATCTCCAGTTAGTGAAGATAAGGATGGATCCACAGATTCTCAGGACCAATCCAAAATCATTAGTGATAAGTCTGAGGGAGAAATAACACTACAGACAAAGGCAAATTTGACATTATCAGAGGGAAGTAGTAAAATTTATGATCCACAAAAAGAGAGCTTAGATGCATCAGAAGCAGAAAGAGATCTCATTGAAAATAGTAGCACTTTGCAGACTACCCCAGATTCAACAGAACTAGAGCTTGGAAATCAGACTGGGTTGAAGCCACCAAGTAAACAGGACAATTTAGAGGATAAGAAAACTGAGGATAGTAAGAGAATTGATGTAGTTAAGGGGAGTGCAGAATCAAATAAAGAAATCTCAATGGACATAACAGAAGAATCAACTCATAAAGATATATCCCCAATAAAGTGTTCACCTCAGTGTCAAAAACTAGAATCTTTAAAAAGTGCAAAGCTTAGAGAAACATCCCAGCAAGAGTCACCAAGCAGTGATAATGTTCATCCAGAAGACTGTATTTGTGAGGAAATTAAATTACAAGCAGAAGAGAAGAAAATGGAAGCTTTTATCAAGGAAGAAAGTACAGATGGTTCAGATTCTTCTTTAAAAGATAATTTTAAATCAGGCATTGTACCAGAAGACGTTGAGATGCAGTCAACTGAGAATGAAGGGAAGACTGAATCAAATAAAAAAGAAAGTAATGTTAAAACAAGTGTATCTAAAGAATTGATTACTACGATAATAAATGAAGCAAATACACCTAAGAGTGAAGTTGAAATCAAACCAACTCTCAAAGAAGAGAAGACTGAGGCAGATGTTAGTGTTTTAAGTGAAGCTAAAGCTCCTGAAAATTATATAGCTGAAGGCAAAATCACCAAAAGAGAAGATGGAGATGATACAGAAATTGCCTTTGAGAATCTTGATGAGATGAAGAGTGATGCCTCAAAAGATCATTGTATCTCAAAAGATAATGAAGATAACAAAATGACAGATATTGAAACAAAAGATAAAAGTAAGCCTTCTCTTGAAAGAGATGAAGGGGAGACTGAAGAACACAAGTTAAGTGAAGTGGAAATGTCTGCTGTTCAGGAACCTAGTGATATAAATGAAAAAGAGGGAAAGCAATCTAAAGATCTTGAAGGCATAGAGCTGCCTCAGTCATCAGTTATTGATGCAGCAGATATTTCCCAGCCACAAGACATAGAAGGAACAGAAGACACCCTGGATGATGATGACACTCAACTGGATGATGGTGATGATCTTGCTCTTGACCTGGGAGGGTTGGGAGCAGCAGGGGAGGGAGGTATGCCAGGTGGTAGTGACCTTGCGGCCCTTCTGTCTTCACAAACTGAGCTGGAACAGTTGGTAACTCAAGCTAGTTCAGCTCTTGCTCCTCATGTGCCAACAGCTGGTATTGTTCAGTCAGGTATGATGGTTTTTAGTTGAAATTATGAATGGTAGTACTGTAGCAATTTTTGTTTGTGCATGTGTTTAACCCTTTTGATGTGAAAATGCCAGAGGTGAGATAAAAACAAGGATGTACAGTAATTGTAAATGTGGTTCTTGATAATGAGGAAATTAAGGCTGTTTGGAGATTATAGTATAGTATGATCATCTGCTGAATGAGGAGTTTGAATGGGTTGGACAACTTATAAATGGCAGAGCCAATACAGGGACAGACCATATCCAAGAATCGAAAGGGAGTGATGAAGAAACTGATTAACAAATTGAAGAATGGAAAGGCTATGGGTAGTTCTGGAATAGTTGCGGATGTGTTGAAAGCATCAGACGATGCTGTTGTGACAATGGTGAGCAAGTTGTCTAATGTAGTTATGGTGGAAAGTATTGTTCCAAAAGACTGGATGAAGAGCACGAGTATAAATTCTTAGAAGAAAAAAGTGATACCCCTGAATGTGGAAACTACAGGGGCCTAAAGCTGTAAGATCAGGTTATGAAAGATGTGGAAAGAATAGTTCAGAAATGATTTACAGAGAGAGTGGACATTAATGAAATGCTCTTTGTGTTCAAATCAAATAGGGGGACTAAAGAGGCAATATTTTGGCCAGGCAATGACAAAAGAAATATCTTGTTAAGGAGAGAAGGCAGTAGTTTGTAGGCTTAGAGAATGCATTGGACAGGGTGCAATGTGAGGTAGTACAGAGAGTTAGGGATCAAGTGATGATGACATTGTATTGAGGGCTATAGAACTTCTGTTAGAGTAAATGGTAAGGAAAGTAAGGGTTCTCCAAGGGTCTGTTTTGAGCCCTTCTGTTTATCGTTGTGGTAGAGGTAATATTATGAGATTTTATGTCTGATCTACCCTGGGAGTTGAATGCAAATGGCTTAGTGTTGATAGTAAATAGTATTGAAAAGGTAGTGGAGAAATTTTAGAAATGGAAGGTTGGAATAGAGTGAATCTGACAAATAGATAAACTCAAAAATGAGGATATTTCCCTTGACTGTGTTGATGAGCTCTGTTACCTTGGTGACGTGATCCAGGCCAGTGGGGTTGCTGTAGCCTGCTCAGTTACAAGAGTCAGAAGTGATTGGAGGAAGTTTGGGGAGTTACCGTTACTGTCTTTGTTGATGGCAAGAGGCTCTTCCTTCTGCATGAAAGGAAGAATGTATGTGGCTGGCATGAGAAGTGTAATGTTATGTTGCAGTGAAACATGGGCAGTTAAAGTGGATAACATAACCAGGCTTCAGCAAGCTGAATGGTGAGATGGATGTGTCATGTGATACTAAAAGACAGGAAGCCCAGTTCAGATCTAAGAGGGCGGCTGGGTATTTAGTGTACATATTGGTAAAGTCTTATGTAGAAGTAGGCTGAGATGGTTTGAGCATGTGGAGAGATAGATGAGACGAATTGGGAAGAGGTAAGAAATGATATTAGAACTAAGAACCTGACAAGACTTACTGCAGCATCGAGAGCTGCCATCAGGTAATCATGGCTAACCCACATAAGAATGGAAAATTGCCATAAAATGTTGGTGATGGTGTACAGGATATGTAGGTAATCATGTGGCCTTAGCAGGATAGAAAAAGTTCAAAATTGGGGATGTATTCCTGGACTGTGTTGAGTTCTTCTGACTGGGTGATGGTGTGGAATCTAGCTCAGTTGCAAGAGTCAGATGTGGCTGGAAGAAGTTTAGGCATGTTGCCTTTATTGTTGGTGAAATAACCTTCTCTTTGCTAGAAAAGAAAATTTTATGCAGCCAGATTAAGAATTGTGTTGTTGTATGAAAAAAAAACATAAACATAGGTAGGTAAAGAGGATAACATAGATCGACATGAATAAACTGAAATGAGTTTGGTAAGATTGATTTGTAGTGATTTTGAGAGATAGGAAATCATGCTAAGAGGGTTGCTGGACATTGAGAGTACAGTACAGTACTGTACAGTATTAGCAAGGCTTTACTTTGAGGTAGGCTGAGATGGTTCAGGGATGGGAAGAGAATGGAGACCAACTGGGTCAAGAGATGCATAAGTTTGAATGTGGTGGGTAGGAGAACTAGGGGTAGGCCATGAATAATGTGGGGAGATGCTGTGAGATAAGAACCTGATGAGAGAGGCTGTCAGAGATCATGTAGCTCAGAGAGTTGAAATCAGGTAATCACACCAAACTCATGAAAGCATGAAAAATGGCTATGGAAAGATGATAATGATGATTAATGTGTGGAAACTACTTTGGGTAACATTCGTAATAATACACAGCACTCATCACTGCCACATACCCTTGTCTCATTGTTAATATCTACACCTTTCTGGTTAAGGCTCAGTTGTGTTTTGAGCATCTATTTTAAGTTTAACATGTTAAACCTTAGCAAAGTACAGGTATTGTAAACACAACATTGATAAATTCCAAAGGTAACACTGTTACGACCCTCCTCTTTTCACCGCTTACCCAGCTTCCACCACTGGTTACTAGCAGCTAGGGTCGTATGTACAGAGCAGTAGATATCTCACAAGAGTTGTTGAATTACCACTGGCTGTCCCGCCAGTCTCCGGTAATTCCCCGACTGTTGGTATCAGTGTACAGACAAACAACAGGCAGGTAGATTTCCACCAGGTCACAGAAATACACTTGTGCACTGTAGTCTTCTTTAATAAACAGTAATTCTTCACAACTGTTAACAGGGTAATGTCTTCACAGCTTAACTCCACACTTTGAATATATAGTCAGCACACTACCAGTTTACAATTCCTTAGTTTTCCCACTTTATATTAATCACAACAATTCCACAATACTTGCAAAACAATTTTTTTCAGTTGTTCTGCTAGGCTTAGTCTTTACACTAGGAACAGAGGTGAGCGACTCACTCCTAGGCAGTCAGCTTCCGCTTATATACGGGTCGTCAGACACCTAGAGCATTCTAGCAGTGTCCAGATGCGAGAGGTCGGCTCACAACACACCTGGAGAATTCTAGAATGATCTAAGCGTACAACAAGAAGTAAATCAGAACAAAAATTATGCAATACGTTCTAGAATATTCTTGCGTAATTAATACCATCAATATTATCAATAAATACACAAAAATTTAACTGAATTTGCCAAAATAACTGCTGCATGAGACAGAAAACAATCAAAACACCTAGTTCACAAAATTATAATAAGAAATTATGCCTCGGCATAACAATACTACAGTATTCTGCAATTTGATATGATTAAGGTATCAGGACCAACATATTCACCAGGGTCACTGTTTCCAACAACTGCACCAAAGATTTGTACATTATCCATTCCTCAATGTACTACAGTTAATTTTTCCTGCAAAACATAGCCAGGTCTCTCAAGACAAAAATTATTATTACAGTACTGTAGTTATAAATTCAATAACATACGTATTTACTTAACTCTAATATTGCTATTCCAAAATCATATTGGTGAGATATATCAGTAAACAGATTTGGTGCTAAAAAGACTACAGTAAATCATTACCTGTCAGTGGTGTTGGCAAGGTTGCTGCCAACTCCTGTTGTTAAAACTAATTTTCTATGTGGAGGATAAGTTTCTGCAGAGCAAGACTTTCTACCTCTGCCTTATAGTTTATGGTAAAAATTCAAATGTTAAAGATAGATGAGGTGCATGAGCATTGAGTCTTCAATGTGACTTTAGTAAAACCAGAGTTGTAAAGTTACTAAATAAATTTACTTGAGTACTGTACTCATAACATTTTTGGGTATTTAATTTTTAAAAAGTACTGTACTCAAATTTTATAGTACAGTATACTCTTACTTTTACTTAAGTTTGGTTTCCTAATACTTTTACTCCAATACAATTGAAAAAACAAAAATCGTTACTCTTTGTATGCAAACAAATAATATATTTTTAATTAATTAATTAATTATTAACCATAGTAAAAGACGTGGGTGAGTGGAGGGTATGGTGTTGGCGGAATCGTAACGGGTACGGTGTGGGTGTGGGAAGACACCACGAAGTCACATACCTGGAGGTCTCGTGAAGTAAGGTGGTGTCAGGTCAGGTCAGGTTGCAGTAGCCATAAGAGTAGACTTTCCCTTTGATCTTCTTGTGTCCATTAGCACCCATCCTCTCTCTTCTTCCCCACCTTTCCCTCAGGGGCTTACCCTTCCCATTAGATGTCATTTGCTCTTTGCAGATATCTGTACCTAAAATTAATTTCAAAGAGGCTATGATTCTAAAATGCTTTACAGAATTCTGTCTTAGATATAAAGCCTGTATCTATACATATGTGTGTGATTGAGTGTATTTAAAATTATGCTTAAATAATCAAGTACAATACCACTGCCCTCCCAGCACCCGCCAGATGTTACATGGTGTAAAAAATTCAGCCACTCTTCACTTAGAATCGAAACATGACATCACCACAGCCACACCCCAATTAGAGGGACAGTTCACAGTGAGTCTTAGTTAGACTCAGTCACTATGGAGGCAAATTTCACCTACAAACTCTTCAACTGAAGGAGCTTGATAGCTACTTGTCATACCCAGGGGATGGAATGAGGCTACTGTACTGAGGTCTTTCCTGACATTATGCGACTTATCACCTCAAGTTTAACATCCCGCTACCTCCATATGCTGCTTGTGAGCATCTGTCTAGTCATGCTGGGCTTATTATTTATTGTTTAATTAATTTATTACACCCCAAGAGGCAACAAGCCTAGTCACAAGACTATGCGGTCAGACACTAATACATTGGTACAAGTACTTGTGTCTTGCAGGACATGCTATGACTTGTGATATGGAGACAATATTGGTATGATTTAAGGACAATTGGAGTTAGCACCCAACAAAGTGCAGGTAGCGTACAGGAATTAAATCTAAATTATTATGAATAAGTAGGTGGAGACATGTAGGTAGTGGTTAGTGATTCATCCTGTGGCAGGAGGTCCCTGACAGTGGGACAGTCAAGGCAATAGTGTTGAAGACAGTTCCAGAGTTTACAGGAAGAGAAGTGTGAGTCATCCCCCACCTGAGATACTTGCCAGACAGGTCTGTATCCTAACCTAATGTGAGCAGAGACAACATTATTCTGCGGACTATAAGTCCACGTAGATGATACTTGTGTGGATAAGGAAGAAGGTGATCATATATTTTCAGCCTATTCATTATCCCTGCGATGGATTGTAGGGAGAAGAGCGGCTGAATGTATTCTTTTCTGGTTGGTCATGGTGCTTATATTTTAGCCAAAAAGGTCCTGATTGGACAGCCATAATATCGAGAATCAGTTATTGATTACCGGGTAATCTCAATAGAAAGATTTGCAAATACAGTATTGTACTCTGTATACATATGTAATACTATGTGTCTTTTATTTTTATCTTCAGTTAATTTTTTTTTTCTGTGGATATATTTTAATATTTGAGACAAAAAAAAAATAACAAAACAAGAGACAAATAATTTTTTTTCTCTCTGAATTTTAACATTGTGTGGTACACTTAGGACAAGATTATGTTCCATTTTTATTTTATGGTATTGTTTCCATAGGTAGGTGGGCAAGCCAGATTATTATTTATATTCCTGTACTGTACTTAAAAAATATTATGATTAGAAAATTCTTGTTCCAGTGCCTGCCCCTATCATTCCTGAAGCAGAGAGGATTGAGCCAGTCAACTGTAAGCTAAATCTATTGGAACATGTGCAAGTTGTACAGAGCAACATTACCAAGCGCTTTGATCAGATTGAAAAGCAGCTTGAAGGTTAGTCTATCCAGGATTTAACCCTGATATATGTAGATAGATGTATAGAAGATACAGTAGTATTTGAATTTATAAACTATATGCTAACTTCAATTCATACAAAATGTGGTATAAAGTAAGTTCCACTTGTCACTGCAGTGTTAAATATGGTATAAAATACAATACTAGGAATAACCTTTCAATTAGTCTGTCTTTTCCAAGTGTAATTAATCACCATGAAAGTGACAGCAGAAGCAAAGGTTCTTCCTTCAGTAATCTAGAAGAATAAGAGCTGATAAACACAACACCTTATAAGTTAGTGATCACCTCGTCCTTGTTCTCAGGTCAACCACAAATTGTTTTCAAGCATCAACCAAAATTTATTCCTTTTTGCACACACACACAAAAGTAGGTGGTCCCACTGATTCCTCCATACTTCTGTTGGTAAATGTTCTGTTTGAAGGTGCTTTGGCCAAGTAACTCAGTTCTAAGTGTTAGTATTTAGAGGGAAAAAAAAAATTTTCATGTTATAAATATTGATGTGGTTTGTTTACAATCCAATCTGGCCTCACCAGGTGGCTTAGCTGTGGGAATCTAATGTCACCTGTTGTAATTTTTGTGTGTCATTCAGTAACACTTTGAGTCATATAGCCTGTGGTTTGACAATACTGATTTTCTGGCTAACTGGGGTTGATTCCTGGAGTAAATAGTAAATTTTCTAGTGTGAATTGAATAGAGATTACAGAGGTTTCTATTTTAGAGATGGCGGTTCAGTGAGATTAATGCCTAGGGTTTTACAGATCTGAATGTGATAATTTCTCTTAAAATTATATTAATTTCTCTTTTTTGTTCCGATTAAAAATTAGATGAACCATACACGGAATCTGTTGAGTCAGTTGGTGACAATGGCCCTTTACCTCCCCACAGCCTCCAACCCAGAATTTTATCCATGAAAAACTTTATCATTATACAGTATCCTTATCCCTAATTATGTGGATAAAGTATTTAATATACAGTATCTTATTTCCTAACCCTGCTCTGAGGGGGTTGTCTCTAAAGAATTACTTGCATTATTATGATGATGTAGCAAGGTCTATAGGAGTGTTAGAATATAATATTATAATGTTATACATACAGTACAATGTCTCTATAACAAGGCTGTTCCATCATCAAGCATATAATACTGCACCCAGCTTTAGTTCCATGTCATGCATGGAAGGGTGTCCCTGAACCTGGTCATTGCAGGCAAGATGGATACAGCCTTCCACACCTTAGAAAACCTACAGTATACCAAATCTGGATACAGCTGTATGCAGCAAAACATTATCTGGATGGATAATTTACATACCATGGAGTCTCCTGGGTTCTATCAGGCTCTGCCTAGGTCCTCATAGTGGCATCTCTCCTTTCTTCATCCATCAAATGGGATTCCACCCAAGTGTGGAAAATGGCCATAAAAGGATAATTATGAGTCTTTGATATAGTTTGTTTCTTTGTGCACAGTATTCAGTCTTTCAGATACTGTACTAGTGTGCCATTTTTTGTTATTTATCCCCCCCCCTGTACTAATAAACCATGTTTTGTTTTAATATTTTCAGTGCTTGAAGCAGAAATGGGGCTGTCAGCTGACACTGCAGATGAGGAGTGTGAGGAAGACAGTGAGGAACGTGATCCAGCTACTCTCCAGGCTCGAGCCCTTATTAAGCTTATTCTTAATGATGTCAATGTTGTAAAAAAGATAGCAGAATTCACTCATTAATTAACTTTATTATTTAATGTTCAAGTTAACTGAAATATGCTTATTGCACTGCAAGGCACGATGATAATGAAATAGTCTAGCAGAGTAAGTTGATGTAAGACTCACATTATTGCTGAATAATTTGAATGCAGCTCAGAAGTTTTTCAGACTATATCTTCAGAACTGATGATTCTAGTTTTCGTAACACCTCACTTCATTTAACCCAAAGTGGAATTTTGAGAGTAACTGTAATGAAGTATTATGACAAAAACACAGTTGAAAAATAATGGCCTGAAGAGATACAGTATTTTATTGTGACTGATGACCAGAAGTAATGCCTTGACATACACACTGGAGTTTATAGACACTCTACAACTCCAGTGTGACTGTGCTGTGGAACACTGTGAAATGAGACTATAGTGTAGCAAGAAGGATTGGTGTGCCAAGATATTTGAAACTGGAAATATTGTGCAACAAACACATGGTAAGTCATGTTTTACATTATGCCACAAAGAGCATAGTTTTTGTGACCAGTGGCTCCTAGTGCATTTTCTATATAGTGATGTTGTTTGTAAAGAAATAAATTATGCAAAGTGAAACTAACAAAAGAGATCAGCTATAGAAAGATATTCTCATTAAGGAACCAGTTGTTACTGTGTTTGAAATTTCCACTGGAAAATGGAAGTACTTCTTGGGTGAAAGGCAAATTATTACCTGTCTTGGTGGATTTCATACAGACAGACAATGAGAGAGAAAATTGACACTGACAATATAGAGTTTATACAAAAGACAGACCAGTGCCTCTTTTTGTGGGAGAATATGAACATAAGACTCTGACATGAGTGCAGTGAGATATTCTCGATTGTTTAGTTGGAAATATTTAGCCAACAACACAGAATTTGCCATAGTTGCTGATAGACATTGTACAAAAATATATCCAGACTGTAAATAAAGTTGCATTATCAAAGTGTTGTAGAGCAAGTGCTGGGTGTTAAATGAATATTGATTATCATGTTGAATGAAAAGACATTACAATTAAATTGAAAAGGAAACTGATCCTCTTGTTTATTTAGTTATTTTGTGTAGAATTTAATGATTTTAGAAATAAGAATCACTCCTCATCTGGCTTCAAAAAAACAGGTACCCAGTAGATACTGTACAGTAATTCCTCGCCAGACACGGGTTGGCTAACTATCAGTGGTTTTAGGTATCCATATTTTATATATTGTACACTGTTTTACCAATGCCAGTATCCAGTTTTGAACATCCGCGGGTTTCCACAGCCAAAGTGGGAGATTTCTAGTCCATCATGCGGGAATGTTTCATCTTGTTTGCTTCATCCTACAGCACATTATATGTTCCTCAAAGGACAGTTTGTTATCATGTACCATGCCCTGGTCCTCTTCCTTCTCTAATCTCTTTAAATCAATTTGCTTGATTTGGATTTTCATATAATACATTACTGTACAGTATTTGGCTTTCTACTGTCCTGGCAATATTCATCACTTAACACTCCCAGGGTTGGAGGGTGGGAATGGCAGTCACACCCATTGTGGTCCAGGTGTAGCCACTCACTGAGTTATTATTATGCATTATTAATCATTATATATGAAAATTTTTAATGAATACAATATAAAATGTTTTGAAGACTTTTCATGTTTCTTCGCATCAAAATTTTCCATTATAATAATGTACAGTATTGTACTGTATAAACATCAATGGAAGTACAAAAATATAATTTACAATATAAAACAAAATACAGTAAGTCCTCGCCTAACGTCGGGGTTACGTTCCTAAAAACACAACGTTAAGCGGATCAATTTTCCCCATAAGACATAGATAAAATGCAGGAGTTACGTTCCTGAGCCTCCCTTTGCCCCATGAAATACATTACATATGAAGAAAATCATTGCCATTTCTATCGAAAATAATGCATACACATACAACTACTAAGTTTATATTGGTACTCACAGATGGGTGGAGGTGGTAGAGCGAGTGTGTGGTGGGTAGTGAAGCAGAGAAGGAGTATGGCGGGAGCGTAGGAGGAGGGTGGGAGCAGAGGAGGGCGGGAGAGGAGGAGGGTGGTGAGTCACTGAGACTCTGCGCCAAGCCGAGAGAGCATAGCGCTACCAGACGAGAGCGGGTGATGCACCGTAAAATGTAGTCTGTGACGATGCAAAACGATGTAGTATCGGATTTCCCCGTTAAACAAATTTTTGGTCTTTAAAGTTTAGCGACGTAGCACCAAAACAATGTTAAGCGGGACTTCATTCTTGAAGATCGTTACGAGGGACAGACCGTCTAGATATCTGAATGACTTTCTTATAAGACCCAATAATTTATTTGTCTGACTTACCTTCTCGCAGTGGCCCGAGAACTTCAGCTCATTGTCAACAACACACCGAGGTCCTTCTCACATTCAGTCTCAAATAGTGCAGTTTCTTCATCCCGTTGGGACATATGATACGCCTCCTTACCGTTGGCACTCGCACTACATCCACGAGTGTTCTTGATCTGGGATAAGCGAGAAATGTGGATGCCAGATGTACAAAGCAGATACGAACCTACTCTGTTCGGCGCAGCTCCTTTGCATATGTTGTCATTCCTTAGGTGTGTGGTCTCATGGCAGAAAAAATTTGCTGTAGAGTATTTTGAAATATTTTGTTCATACACACAGTTGCATAAGAAAATGTTTTAGGGTACAAAACATCATACACATACTGCGCAATTTTTGCATTGCCGGGGAGAGCGTCGAGGCCTGATGTACCGTATTTATTTATAACTTTTGACTTGTCTTTAGGCATGTATCTCTGGGGTCATATTCCCTCGCTCTTATTTCCCATTAGACCATCCCCTGCCAACCATGGGAGAATTCTAGATTATAATCCTTGTGGTTGGCGAAGGATTACTGTACTGTATTGAGAATTTTATCCTTTTGCTGTTGGTGTCCAACTTAAGTTGTGTTGTACATATAGGTTGACTAGATCCACTGTGTACATGTGCCTGTGGTCCCCATATACTGTACCACTATGTCTGTAAACTAGTATACTGTACTGAACATTCCAGTTACAGTAGGAGCTATTTCCTGTCATTTTCATGACATAGATAATAATCGGAGTTGTTGTACAAGTTTAGAATTTGAGATCACAGCATACTATCTTGTGGTTTAATATCACATAAAAGTCATTGTATCTAGTAAGAAAAATTGGTTACGTAGAAGATGGAAATCATTCTTTTAATTTGACTTTGCAATATGAATTTCATTTTCTGTGTAGAGTACCGGGTATTGCTCATTTTGTTGCCAACAACTGTAAAATAGTTTAACAAGTCTGTAGCTTTAAGGAATAATTCCAAAGAATTTTTTGTGCATTGAAAATGCACTTAATATAGTACAGTACAGTATATATGTATTTACAGTATTTACACTATGTTATAGGAGGCAGAATATTGGATAAAAACTTACAATTTTCCATGTAATTCAAACCTCTTAAGTGAAAGTTTTAATTCCACTAAGGTTCTGAATGACATTCACTTAAAGGATGACTAAGTTTCAGAGTAATTTTTATTTCTTTTCTCTCATGTAAAAACTAAACTGCAGTACAGTACTTCGTGTGACTGTTACACAATTTGCATTTTGGAAGATTTTTTTGTCAGTTAAAATCAACTTTATGTCTAAATATAGAAAAACTTGCAATTTCTGTATTTAGACTTAAAGTTGACTTTAACCGACAAAAAATCTTCCAAAATACAAATTGTGTAACAGTCACAAGAATAAGCAGTATACTGTACAGTAATTAATACTTTAACTCACTCTTATATTAGAGTTATTCACTGTACTTAAATGTTATCATTTAAAGAACTGTCTTTAAAAAATATTATTTCTGTATACAGTACTGAAGATAAGGTTAAGAAGGAAACATAATTTAAGCATAACCAAATTATATTGTATTCTTTTGTTGTACTGTATACAATATTTAATTTACATGTATTAAGTTCATTTGGAATTTAAGGACATTTTTTTCTAATAATTATGTATGATGTTTGAAGAAAATACTTAATTTGTATACGTATGTAGTATGGTAGAGTGACTGCCCTAACTAGTCCTTAATGAATGAAAGGTTACCCAGTCATCAGGGAGGAAAGCAAGATTGATTAGAATTGATGTGATTAGTAAGTGCACCACCCAGGCAATGCAGAAGTCTTGGATTCAAATTCGAAGCTGTTCAAACTTTAGCCTGATTTTGTATTACAAACAAATCTTATGTAGTAAGTATGTAGAGATTTGAGTATGTGTTTATGTAGTAGCATTAGTTATAAATAATACTTTGAAAGCACCCTAAGTAAAATAATTTATATTCCATTTAATTGCTGACAGATAGTTTTTCTTTTTATTTTATAAGTTACTGTATGTGTGCATTTATAATTAAGATTGTTCATAAAGTATTGTGATTATTATAACCCACTAAATTTCCAAAGGAGAGTTGCCTTATTATGCTGCAGAGATACAAGTGGAGTTGTTGTTGACACAGTAACTCTTCCACACAAGCACGGAAAATGGCTACAAAATGGCGATAATGATGATGATGATGATGATTAGCATTACACTTCTTACTGTACCTAGATCTTTTAATTCTAAAAGAAAAAAAATACAGTACTCTCTTCATATGGATGATGTCATTCAAATATTTCCAGGCAAATCCTCTCCGCTTGTTTGCTTTTGTAGAAAACAGAACTTCAGTAAACACAATTAGTTACAATGCTTCCTTTGTAATGCTCAGATACACCACAGGCCTCTTATTGCCTCAGAAAGAAGCCAACCTCACTCAATCAAAGCGATATCGCAAACAAATACTGCACACTGTATAAGTATGAGCATAAACATCCACAAATGCAACATACATTTTGGATATTTTTTTAAAGGATACATTGAATCACATCACAGTCCCATTGAATATCATCAGATTTAGAGTTTAACTAAACATTCTTCATTTAAATTGGCATAATAGGGGATGAAGATTTATCAGTAGGGATCTCAGTGTTCTGTACTTCAATAAAATGGTTATGTATTTCCAAACTGATGTTGAGTCCAGCGTGCTGCTGTTTCTGAAGTTTAATATTGTCTCAAACTAGGTTCCATTTGTTTACTTTACTTGGAATATTTATGTTTCAGGTACTGTATTGCTTTGATTGAAAAGTGACCTGGTGTGTTGACAATGGTAAATCAAGTAAATTAGCTAGATGATCCGTCCTTCACAATGCTCTTCAAAGGTGAGGTGCTTCCCTGTTTGGAGTACTGTCACTCTGTCTGGTCCCTGAGATATGGTAGAGATTGTCAGTTGATTGAGAACATCCAAGAGAGGGCCACCAGACTGGTGCCTGCACACTGCCACTTCAGGTATCTAAAGAGATTAGATCATCTGCAGTTGCCTAGCTTATACTATACTGTGGAAGGGTAAGGTGTGACTTAATAGAAGTCTATTAGCACCTCATAGTTCATTACTCAGTTGAGTGTTCATACCTGAAACTAGCAGATACCCACCCCAGTAACAGCTTCTGGTTAAAGACACCACATGTTCAGAAAATTGTCAGGGTTAGGTTCCAACTGACTCTATAGATTGTGAATTTTGCCTGTTATAAAAATTATACTATTTTTCTGTCCCCAAATACTACTGTACAGATATTCACTTAACCCCCAAGACAAATGTTATTTTTTGCTTGGAATGTTCACTAAACCTTCCTAAAAAAAAAATTACAATTAACATAAAAGAATGACTCAAAACACCCGTAAAAGATGCCAGGCAAGGAAAAACAGGGAGCCAGAGAAAGAGTGGGATGGAAGCGGGGTGGTGGTGGGATGGGTGTAAATTTCAGTATTTCTATAATGTTCCATCATATTGATACTGTATACCAGGACTATTTAGTACGTACTGTTTATCAATACACTTGGGCACCAATGAGTCAGTGAACTTGTTTATAAGAAAGAACTTGATTCATTTAAAAGATAAATGTCTTCATGGAGATGAGGTTGTGTGAGATTGTGAAATGGAGTACTATCGTCTATCGTACGATATGTTTTCCCATATGTTGAGGTGGGAGCTTGTCTGTGGCAGCGCCCAGTTGCCAGTCACCATCTGACGCTAGAGTAGTAAAGTCTGCGAGGAACCTGGTCTATTATTCAAACCTCTCACATGGCACACTGAGTAGGATGCCAGGGCCCAACACCCCATAACAGCACCTGACAAGAGCGGCAACATGGCCCCCACACGTCCACGATTCTCGACGCCCTCAAAGGGACGCCAAGGCATCTCTACACCGGCGGGGAACACCAGGCGCGCTCAGCAACAGACCATGAGTGCATTGATGGCTCAGGTGGCGTCTCTATCTACTGGTGGCCACGGTCATGCTCCCATGCCGGTCATGAAGCCCTCAGCAGCAGTCGCTCCAGAGAAGTGTGAGGCAGAAATGCCAGCAGCGGCGTTTAGGACATGGAGTCGTGGGTGCTGTTGAACGGATGGTCACAACTGGTGGCCACTCTCCACATTCGCCTGAACTGCGTCCCTGCACTCCAAAGGGTGATTGACTTGAGATATCCCAGCGGTCAGTGGGAGCAGCTCTCGCCCAAGGAAGCCCTGGATGCCATCA